CGCAGTAAGAAACTGACGAAACCCTCACTGGAAGGCTCCCAGCTAGATGGGCTTCGACAGCCTGGGTGCAGCCTCGACCCGGCCGTGCGGAACGGGGAAGATGCTTCACCTAAGGAACGCATTAAGAAATTGAGGGACCCCTCACTGGAAGGCCCACAGATGGGCCTCCACAGGCTCAGTGCAGCTCGACGAAGCACGGAAGAAGGCCCCACAGATGGGCTTCGACCCGGCCCTGCGAAACGGAGAAGATGCGTAACGTCACCGACCTAAGGAACGCATTAAGAAATTGAGGGAGCCTTCACTGAAAGGCCCCCAGATGTGCTTGGAAAGCTTGGGTGCAATTCCCAACCCGACGAAACACGGAAGAAGGTTCCAGATGGTCTTCGACCCGGTCCTGCGAAACGAGGAAGATGCCTCATGCCACTTGAAACGTCATCTAAGGAGCGCCTTCAGAAATTGAGGGAACCTTCACTGGAAGGCCCCCAGATGGGCCGGGTCACCTGAGGAACGCATTGAGAAATTGAAGGACCTTCACTGGAAGGCCCCCCCGATGGGCTTGGACAGCCTGGGTGCCCCTCCGAACCATACACAATAAGGAAGAAGGGCCCTGCAAAATGCAAAATGGGGAAGATGCTTAACGTCACCTGAGGAACGCATTAAGAAACTGAGGGAACCTCCACTGGAAGGCCTGCAGATGGGCTTCGACAGCTTGGGTGCAGCCCTCGGAACATGGCAGAACGGGGAAGATGTCTAACGTCACCTATAAGGAACGCATTAAGCAACTGAGGGAGCCTTCACTGGAAGGCCCCCAGATGGGCTTGGGCAACCTAAGTGCAGCTCAGCGAACCCCACGAAACACGGAAGAGGGCCCCAGATGGGCTTCGACCCGGCCCGCCGAAACGGTCAAGATGCCTAAAACGTGATTTATAAGGAGCGCATTAAGAAACTGAGGAACCCTCATTGGAAGGTCCCTAGATAGGCTTGGACCCGACCCCGCGAAACAGGGAAGATGCGAAACGTCACCGAAGGAACGCATTAAGATACTGAGGGAACCGTCACTCGAAGGCTTTCAAATGGGCTCGGACAGCTTGGGTGCAGCCCTCCGAACCCTACGAAACAGGGAAGATGCCAACCGTCACCCAAGGAACGCATTAAGAAACTGCTACGAAACAGGGAAGATGAATGGCAATTGTATCGTCACGTGTGGTTCAAGCTTCTCTGGCGCGCTCCCCCTTGGAGAATCAATATATAAAACCGGAGCTAAACGATTGGCTCTTGTGCGCTTTCTACTTCTTGGTCTTCACACAAGCAGGGCTGGCCAGACAGACATGCAAAAAGAGATGTCTGCAGATCACGATTCAGGTACAGCAATGGAGAAAGTGCCTGAACATGATTCCATACATGCGCAAGGCCCTCTTGCTGAACCTAAGCGGGCTGATGTGAGCGCACCAGCACAAGCACCAGGCAGAAGCTCCTTTTCAAATTCAATCAAATTGCAGCAAGGTATCGAGGGTCTACAGTCAATAATGCTAATACCGTAGCTAAAAGATTGGCTCTTGCGCAGTTCGTGCTTATCCGTTTGTTGGGCACGGGGGTCGCATTTGCCCCTGAACCATGTTGGGTCGCACTTGCCCCTGAATGAAGTGCGATGAAGTGGGTTCAGGGGCGAATGTGACCCTCGTTCAGGGGCGAATGTGACCCCTGCTTTTGCGTGGCAGGCGCAATAGTTTCAGAGCCTCAAAAGGATTTTTTCCACCCTAGAGAGTCGTATTCACGTGCTATGCGACGTTCCAACAGCCATTTCAATCAACTTCCAGGACACTATGGATGCTATGGTGTACCATTGCTACGTTGTAACATCCATTTCGAGCAACTTCGAAGATGCTTTGGATGCTACGTTCCAACAGCCATTTCAATCAACTTCCAGCACGCTATGGATGCTACGTTGTAACACCCATTTCGAGCAACTTGGAAGACACTTTGGATGCTACGTTCCAACAGCCATTTCAATCAACTTCCAGCATGCTATGGATGCTACGTTGTAACACCCATTTCGAGCAACTTGGAAGACACTTTGGATGCTACGTTCCAACAGCCATTTCAATCAACTAGCAGCACGCTATGGATGCTACGTTGTAACATCCATTTCGAGCAACTTGGAAGACGCCTCGGATGCTATGTTCCAACAGCCATTTGAATCAACTTCCAGGACACTATGGATGCTACGGTTTACCATTGCTACGTTGTAACATCCATTTCGAGCAACTTCGAAGACGCTTTGGATGCTACCTTCCAAGAGCCATTTCAATCAACTTCCAGGACATTATGGATGCTAGGTTGTAAGATCCATTTCGAGCACCTTCGAAGACGATTTGGATGCCCCTAAAGGTGCCCCAGTCCCCCTAAATGTCCCCTTAACCCCAGGGTAAACCCTAAAGGGTTGAGTAACGTATTGAATAGAGAGGCAAGTTACCATATGCCCCCAAGTCCCCCCTAAAGGTTCCCCAGTCCCCCTACATGTCCCCTTGTCCCCAGGTTTAACCCTAAAGGGTTGAGTACCACATTGAAAGTTTTGTGGTTCAGGGGCGAATGTGACCCCTTTTGGTTCAGGGGCGAATGTGACCCTCTTTCAGGGGCAAATGTGACCCCCGTCCCCGTTGTTTGTTGTTACACAAGCAAAGCTGACCAGGCTGGAAAAGTGAGAGGGGGAGAGAGCGAAATGCAGATTCTTTTGTGTTCCATTTTGTTTCCAGATTTTGCACCTTTGCACATTGTTTGCAGATTCTTTGAATGCCGACAGTAGATTCTTGATACCGCTGTGTGCTGAGATTTTTCAGGCCTTCAGTCGCAAGATCCGGGAGACGCAGTGGGGGCATCAGGCCAAAAAGTAGTGATGGGGAAAAAACGTGAGCAAAAGTAGTCTGGATCATTTTTGGGTTCGTCCATGAACAAAACATGCGCAATGTGCTGGTTGCGACAATCATGTTGTGCAAGGAAGCTGCGGTTTGTCAACGATTTTGCGCATTGGCTCAGTTGCCTTTCACACTAGTACTGTTGCCACCAGGGCGATAGGGTGTCCATCAGATTTAAGGAGTCATCCATACGTGATGGCGATGGCAGAAAGAAGTGACTTGACACGGAGCCTCAGGGAGAACATGGAACCAGATCATGAACCCGGAAGCTCAGGTGAGCATGATTTGGAGCCAGGGTCGCCTGACTTGGAAGCCCGGGCTCCCTCAATGCATCAGCTTAGAGACCATGCAAGGCAGTTGTCAGAGGAGACTGAAGAGCAGCGCTCGATGGAGTGGAGTGGTCTTTCGTTTACGATTGGCCAACACAAGATCCTTTCGAATGTCTCAGGCATGATTGAGCCGGGTCGATTGACCGGGGTCTTCGGACCATCTGGCAGTGGAAAGACCACTTTGCTGAACATCCTGGCTGGTAGGCAAAACACGAGGGCTGCCCATATGACGCTTACTGGTGAGATCACTACAGCAGGTGTTCACGTTGACCCCGTCAGTTTTCGTGGCAACATTGCATATGTCATGCAAGATGATGCATTGCTTCCTTTTGAGACACCTCGAGAATACTTCCACTTTTCGGCCTGCATGCGGCTGCCCTCAACCATTACTCGGGTGCAGAGAGATGAGTTCGTGCAACAGTTGCTCCGTACCCTTTCTCTGGAACGGTGCTCATCCACCATTGTGGGTTCAGAGCTTGTGAAGGGTCTCTCAGGGGGCGAACGGAAGCGAACCTCAGTGGGAATCGAGCTGATCACCAATCCCAAACTGTTGTTTCTAGATGAGCCCTTAAGCGGATTGGACTCATATGCGGCCTACACTTTGGTGGTGGCTTTGAAGGAGCTTGCACAAGCCAATGTTCCAGTGCTCTGCACTGTACATCAGCCCAGCAGTGAGATTTTCGCCATGTTCGATGATGTGATTATGTTGCATGCTGGTGAGATCACTTTTCATGGCCCATCAAACCGGATCTCTGCACATTTCGAAGCTTTGGGCTTCCCATGCCCTTCAAACTTCAATCCCGCAGATCATGTGATGTTCCTGATGCAGAAGGAGTCTATGGACAAGATGAGAGAGATCAAAGACCGCTGGCTCAGCTGTGACACTTTCCTGAAGATGCAGGGGAAGATCCAGGCTTTGCAGAGCCGTCAGACTGGTACGGCCGAGCATATAGCTAGGGGTAGCCTTCCTAGCGGGCGTTCCACTGGCTTCTGCAAACAGCTTGGTATGCTACTAGCTCGGGAAGTGAGAGGTACCTTGAGAAACAAGGGCATTTTGTATGCTCGGTTTGGTATGGCCCTATTCTTGGCTGCGTTGTACGGTTGGCTTTTCTCTGGCAGCGCAGCACAGGGAGACAAGAAGGATTCCTCAGAGCCCAACTGCGTCGCGGGCAATTTTGACGCAGGTGGATGCACGGGCGATTTTCAAGCACATTTTGGCACCTTGGTGTCTTTGAGCATCATGGCCATGATGGGTGCAGCTCAGCCTGTGATTCTTCAATTTCCACAAGAACGGCCAGTGTTTTTGAGAGAATATGCTGCTCACCAGTATGGAGTCTTGCCGTACTTCATCAGCAAGACGCTAGTGGAGATGCCCGTGGTATTGATGTCCCAGATTCTCACCTTTACAGTCACGTATTTCTGGATGGGCCTGAAGGGCAATGTTCTGCTGATGGTGGGAGTGTCGTGGCTCCTGGGCATCGCCTCATCATCCCTGGCCCTCTTAGTTGGATGTGGGGTAGCTTCAGCACAGAAGGCCATTCAGTTGGCACCGCTCACACTGATCCCGCAGATGCTGTTCTCAGGCCTGTTTGTTCCAGTGGCAAAAATCCCATCGAGCCTCAGATGGGCCCGCTACCTCTGTCCATTGAAATATGCAATTAATTTGATGACCCTTGTGGAGTTTCAGTACGTCAAGAAGGCCATGGATGATTGCGAGAAGCACTCTTCGATGCAGATTTGTGCAGCAGAGAATCCAGGAGACTTCTTGAGACTCCAGCTTGTCAAGACCCAAAGCGTTGTTTGGGATGACTGGTTGGAGTACTTGCTTGCTCTGGTGGGTCTTTTTGCACTCTTCCGCATCATTGCCACCATCCTCCTTTGGCGTAAGGGGAAGTACGTGTTTTGATTTTCGCGGCCTCATGGGCCACATAGCTTCCCACTTGCATAGACACGGTATAGACTTCCCTGAAAGTGGGAGGTCTTGTTGTAGCCGGAAGCTCTCGGAACGAGCGCAGAGAGGACAGGCGAAACAAGTTTTTGAGCCTTCACCCTTGCGTAGGGTATTTTACAAGTACGAGTTAAGACCCTGGTGGATGTGGACGTTTGGAATTTTTCAGCTCCTTTCCATTGGCACATCGACTTTTTGAGATTTTGTTGGGATTGATTGCTCTTGTTCAACTTTGTGCAGCAACAGTCTTTCGACTCACCGCACTGGGGGCTGCAAGTCTCATCAGGCAGCTTTCCCCCAAAAGCGGAAGGCCAGGATGCTGTTGGGACATCACAATGGCTGGAGATTGGTAAATGAACATGGCCTGCAGATGTCATCAACTCCTTCAGGGACTAAGTGTTTACTCATGATCTCCGCACCTTCAGTGAAAGGCACGATATTTGAACAGTTCTGTGATTGCTCAATCCACATATCCATGCAGTTGCCAGCAAAGATCAAGTGGACAGATCAGGACGAATATCCAGCCGAGGCCAAACAGCTGTGGATGAGGGGGGAACTCACATTTACATACATATGTATCTATACAGATAGACATATGTATTGTATTGTATTGTGAATTCCACTACAGGTGTGCCTTGATGTGATCCCTCATTTGCCTGTGAACATTTCATATGTCACCACTTGATCCTTGGTGCCTTCCGCTTCGAGGCTGTGGAGGGTAGGGATAGTGGTCTAGCTGTTGGACAGCCATGACTTGGCCTTGAGCGGTGCCTAAAAGGCTGCTACGCGATTGGTGTGGGACACCTGGGTTTTTACATCTTGTTGGATCGGATTCAACCATCATTTACATTTCTGACAGGGTTCAGATCAATTGGATTTGGTGATAGCGGCTGCTACCAGTTCACACTGGTAGCGGAGCCGTGTGCTCCAGCTACCTTTCAGGTACCTGCAAGAGCGGTGATCCAGGGGGTTACAACCAATTTTGAGGTGTCATGCCGCCAGCAGCTGATGAGACCTTGCCTCCGGTTCCGGATGACATTCCACCACCGGGGACAACCCAACTGCCGTGGAATCAAATTCCTAAGTTTGTTCCAGGTGTGACAAATGTTCAGGAGTACGTGCAGAAGCTGAAGTTCCTCGCAGCTTTATGGCCAGTTGAGTACCTTGACCAACTGGCACCACGTGCAGCCCTCCTCATAGAGGGGACAGCTTTCAGAAAGATCGCCAGGATTCCTCCAAGCAAGTTGAAAGTCAAAACCACGGATGGAATTGCAGCCCTTGTGGAGGCAATCGGGGGTTCGTGGGGCTCAACTGAATTGGAAGAGAGGTATGAGTTTTTTGAGAAGTCGCTTTACGGCACGACCCAACGTACAGATGAGTCACATGATTCCTTTTTGTCAAGGATGGAAGCAAGTTTTCTGGAACTCATTTCAAGAAACACCACATTAGAAGAAGTCCAAGCATACGTCCTTCTGAGGCAGTCAACGTTGAGTGCCGATGACAAGAAACGTATCTTGTTGGAGCATGGTGGAGAACTCAAGTATGAGCCAGTGGTCAAAGCCTTTCGTCTGTTGGGAAGCCGATTTTTCAATGAGTTTCAGAGCGGCCGCAGCAGTCAGAAAACCAAAGTGTACGATGTCCATGTGTCCGAAAATGTGGATGTCCATGAAACTGGATCTCATCATGAAAATAGCCATGTGGAGAGAGCCTTTGTCTCTCATTCCGATGAGATGGAGCCTGAGCTCGATCATGAGTTTATAGAGGCCCTTGTCGCGCAGGATGATGCTGACGCGCTTGTGGTGGCCAACTTCGAAGGTGAGTTTGAAGAGTTTCTTCAAGAGACTCCTGAGATGTATGATGCCTTGACAAGCTCCATGGAGGCAAGATCAAAGCTTGTGGAGAAGCGCAGAAACCGCGGCTTTTGGCCGACCAAAGGGAAGCAAAAGTCTGGAAAGGGCCGAGGCAAAGGCTTCGGCAAAAGATCAAAGGATCGTGAAGCGCTGTTACAGCGCATAGCCAGAAGTCACTGCCGCAAGTGCGAAATGATTGGACATTGGAAAGCAGAATGTCCTCAGAACGCCGAGAAGTCCCAAGCAGGTTCAGCTTCCACTGCCACTGCCCATGTTGTTTTTGATGATCGTCTCCAGGAAGTGTACCAGTCTGTCTCAGCCGGTGCCGATGAAGTGATTTCTGAAGCCGAAGATGAATATGAAATGCCGTCCCATGAATCCAGTCCGCAAACCAGTCTCACTGAAGCCATGTGTTTCATGTTGTCCCATGAGAATAAGGTTAAGGGGATAGATAACCTTAGTAAGAGGATGCAAAAGTTCAATAAGTTCAGATTGGGGTATAATTGAAGTGATGTCCAGCGCCGTGTGTCGTCGCCCAGAAAATGCCTTGAAGGTCGAAAGACCGACCATGCCCGATTTCGAATTTTCCGTGAGCCATCCGTCCAGCTGAACACATCCGAGTGTGTATATAGCAGCTCTGAGACCTTTTGCACCCACGCAATTCTCGACACTGGCGCCAGCCGGTGCATCATCGGTGAGAAAACATTGGAACGTCTGAAGCTTGCTTTGTCAACCAACTTGACTCAGAAGTTTAGGAAGAAAGCCAGCCAAGTACGGTTTCGATTTGGGAACAATGCCTCCCTTACAAGTCAGTATGCCATCCAGATCCCACTCAAACATCGTGAGAACAGGAAATTGTGGATTTCCATTGAGGTCGTACCAGGCTTGACACCGTTCCTTTTTCCGAAACGTGCATTTAAGCTGCTTCATGGTTCCTTGGATTCACAACATGACATGTGCTGGATGGCCAAGGTACAGAAAGAACCAATTCCTTTAGCCACCAGTCCCACGGGCTTATATTTGCTCAACATGATGGACATTTGCCCACTGGCTGAATCAGCCTTTTCTCACAGTGATTTCATTTTTTGTTCTTCCAAGACGAAACTTGGGGTAAACTTGACTTCTGGAGTTCAAGTTGTTAGGGGTAATGAAGTTGATGGGGTAAATCAATTTCCAAGTGCCGCTCTAGAGCTTTCCGCACGACCACCACCAACCAGAAGCTTCCGCTCAAGAGATCAATCGTGTGTGTCTTCAGGTTTTCCACTGACGCGTTATAGCCATGCCAACCATGGTGACCACTCTCAAGACCATCACCGAGGCCATCCTGCATTTGCTACTTCAGATTTTTGTGCACCAGCTGGAAAAGCAGGAGAATGCCATCGAAGTGGACTCCGAGCCAGATGTGATGACACAAAGCCAACTGTTGGAGATGATGCAACAGATCCAGGTTCAAAAGACAGCTTCGGATGCCCTGAAAGACGAGGTGATCAATCAAAAGCGCAGTCCCGAACGTGTGGAAAGATTGGGAAACAAGGCTTCAGGCCCTTCTGCCTCAGCCGGAAGCCCGATGAAGAATCATCCAGTGCCAAGCATTCCTTTGAACCAACGCCGAAATCCAGCACCATCCATCACATCTCAGGCAGCCAGCTGGCAGGAGATCGAAGAGGTGGAAGAGATCGTGGCGCAGGAAAGTTTAACAGCCATTGTGCAGCCCATGCCAACCAGCCGAGGAGGAGTTCCTCCTGCCCCCACTTTGCCCTTGCCGGGCAACCTCACTCTGGCAGAATGGGGAACCAACGTGATCAAGTTCGGCCGCAAGCACAAGGGCAAGACCTATGCCTCCGTGATGCAGCAAGATCCAAATTACCTGCAATGGAGTCTGGCCAGATACGGGAGTCTGATGATTCCATGTACTCCAGTTTTCAAAGTTCATCTCAACACAAAAGGGTTTGGCTGCTTGAAGTTTATGCCAACACGCACAGTCCTTTGACAGAAGCTGTAGGAAGATTGGGTTACTGGGCCATTCGATTCACCAAACAAGATGGAGATTTGGCCACATTCGCAGGCCGACACAAACTTTGGTCTTGGATTGAGAAGTATCAACCTGAACACATATGGATGGCTCCTGAGTGTGGTCCGTGGGGAGGATGAAATCATTTGAACAAACTGAAAAGCCCGATTCTGTTTGATCAAATGCAGGCCAAACAAGACCAACAACTGCCTCATGTTCGTTTGTGTGCCAGAGTGTGCCAATTTCAGGTGAATCGGGGTCGCCATTTCCATTTAGAACAGCCTGCGGGATCCGGTCTTGTGCACTTGAAGGTTTTCGAGTCTGTTCTGCAGAGAACTGTATCCGCACGCTTTGACATGTGCAAGTTCGGTCTGCGCATTCCTAAGACCAATCGTTTCTTAAGAAAACGCAGTCAAATATTGACTACCTCCAAGGCCTTGTTTTATGCTGTTCATGGGAGCCGATGTGCAGACCAACACATTCATCAGCGGATCGAAGGAAGTGCCAACATAAATGGCATCCGACAAAGCCTGACCAACTTTTCTGCCACGTACTGTAGAGGGTTCGCTGAAATGATGGCTCGTAACTTATGTAAAGCATACCATACCCATGTTGGCGATGATGAAAGAGCCTTGACTTTCCACTCTGATGATGTTGAAGAAAGACCTTCCAAACGTTTGAAGATCAATCCTCAAAGCCGTAAACGCCATCAGACGGAATCCGAAACACCAGGTGAAAGCATTTCAGCCAGACCTTCAGTGCCAATGTCTGATGTTCCCACTCCAAATGTGGGGGATCCGAATCCCAATCAGACGGATGCTCAGCCGGTTCAATTAGAGATGCCACAGTCCGAACCGTGGCAAACAGTTTTTGAACTTGCTCAGGACATTGCACCAAGAGTTGGCAACACCAGATGTCCCATGGATTCAGAGGTATGGACAAGAGCCCAAACCATTGTCCAAGATCATATGCAGATCACAGACATGTTCGTTTGCAGAGGCACCGAAAGATACCAAGTTCCACTCCATGCACCAAGTTCTCATCAATGTCCTCTGCGCCACACTGTGTGTATGCATAGAGAGACATCCGTTGTTCATGATCTAGGATCAGAGAACTGGCACAATTGCACCCGAGCCCAAAGAATTCGAAAAGGGGTTCCCAGTAAGCTCACATTGACGATGTTTGGTCAAGCACCTAGCACTGAATCCACGCCTGTTCCCGGCACTGAATCGATGCCGATTGCAGTTCCCAGCAGTGCACCTGTTGAACCAAGCACAGGAGCAGAGCCACCATCGGCCGTTCGTGCCAGTGGATCTCAGAACTTGCCACTGGCTGTGCATGCACGTTCCAGTAAAAGGTATGTGAAGGCTGGGCCCCACCACCAGTGCCATTGCATGGACCCAAGTTTAGACTGTTGAAGGATTCAGAAAAACAAGATCTCATTAAAGTGCATAAGAACCTTGGTCACCCTGATCCAAATGTGTTATCACAGCACTTGAAACTGAATGGAGCCGAAGAACACATTGTGGAAGCAGCCAGAGAATACATATGTGATGCCTGCGTTGAGACCTCCAAATTCAAGCATCAACGACCTGCTAAACTGCATGAACCCAGGGAGTTTAATGAATTAGTGGGCATTGACGGTTTTTTCTGGACTGGCCGCAAAGGTTTTCAGGTCATGATTTTCCATTGCATCGACGAGGCGTCCTTGTTCCACTTGGGACGCAGATTGGAAAATAGGCATCTGGAACATGTGCTCCCTGCCTTCACAGAATTTTGGTTCTCTTGGGCTGGCCAACCCAGGACTGTATACTCGGACCCTGCTGGTGAGTTTCGAGCTGACCAATGGTTAGAATTCATGCAGAAACATGACATCGAAACCAAGCTTTCCACAGAAGCATGGCAAAAGGGTAGAGTAGAACGACATGGTCAAATTATCAAAAACATGTTGCATCGGTATGACCAGGAAAAGATCATTGAGGGTCCCACTGAACTTGACCAAGTCCTCAGGGCATGTTTTCAGGCCAAGAATGCGCTATCACGACATCAGGGATTTTCCCCGGAACAAATTGTACTAGGCAAGTCAACTCGACTTCCTGCTTCACTCTCGAGTGATGAAAATGCATCAGCTCACTGCCTTGCCGATGGCTCAGACTTGGAATGCGAAAGATTCCAGAGAAATCTAGAAGCTCGTTCCCGGGCGCGCAAAATGTTCCTTTTGGCTGACAATGATGCATCAATTCGTAGAGCCATACTCAGAAAATCGAATCCTCACCCCGGTATTTTTGTTGTTGGCCAGAGTGTGATGTACTGGCGCAAGAAACAGGTTTCTGGAAGACGTGAAGTGGGGCGATAGCATGGGCCAGCTCGCGTTGTGTGTTCTGAAGGGGATTCGAATATCTGGGTGTCACATGGTGACAGACTTCTCAGGTGTGCACCTGAAAATCTTCGACCCGCGTCTTTGCGAGAGTGGCATGGCTCCAATGTTTCGCTTGATCAACAGGTGACAGAGATTCAACAGTCTCAAAATGTGAACCAGACTCTTTCGACACGACAAGAAGAACATACAGCCATGTTGCCTGAATAGACGTATTCACCTGGGACACCACTGCAGGAACCGAATGACACAGTCAGCCACCAGACTAGCGTTCAACCTGAAAGTGAAGAATTTCCTGAACAATTGATCACTCCAATAAACACACCTTCACAACATTCTCAACAGGAACTCATGGAACCCAATGCAAGCTTTGATAATCTTCCCGAAGGTAATGAAGATAACGCTATTGATTTGGATGAGTTCAGCCTTTCTGCCGACCAATCTGCCGAGATCATGACATGTCATGACCTATGTTCCAGTGAAGAAATCGAAAGTATTCATGAATGGAATTCCTTTCAGCCTGGGGTTGAAAATTGTGACATTTGCCTTGCTGAAGACGGACTGCCATATTTGAATGAACCCGTGCAACCTCATGACCATCAGTGCTATCTCCTTGAAGTTTCTTTGTCACGCCAAGACATTGTTCGCTGGTCTCAATCTGAGCGCCCGGAGGAACTTGCCCAAGTTGCTTCAGCCAGTAAGCGAGCCCGAGCAGAGGTCCAATTAAAGGATCTCTCAGCGGAAGATAAGAAACTCTTCTCGCTGGCAAAAGAAGCCGAGATCTCGTGCTGGCTCCAAACGAGCGCCTAGAAACCTGTCTTGAGAAAGCACCTGAATCCTGAGCAGATTCTCAAATCTAGGTGGGTTCTAACATGGAAGAATATGGATACTGCAGACTCTTCGGGAAATACTAAGAAGGCCAAAACATGTTTGGTAGTACTTGGATATCAGGATCCACGCTTGACTGAGGTACAAAGGGATGCTCCCACTCTCACTAGAGAAGGTAGACATACTGTGCTTCAATTGATAGCTTCAAACCAATGGACTTTGATATCATTTGACATCAAGACAGCGTTCCTGAGAGGAAAAGCAGACAGTGACAACCCACCGGCCATGGAACCTCCAAAGGAATTGCGGGACCGCATGCAACTGGAATCCGACCAGGTTTGTGCTCTCATTGGTAATGCCTATGGAAGAGTGGATGCTCCACTATTGTTTTACAAAGAATTATCCAAACAATTGAAGAATCTAGGATTCACGATGCATCCTCTCGAACCGTGTGTCCATTACCTGGAATCCTGGAAAGATGGTCACCGCACTCTTCATGGAGTTCTTGGCACTCATGTGGACGATGGAATTTGTGGTGGCGACGAATATTTTCTATCCCGTATCGAAAAGCTTCGACAGAGTTTGCCGTTTGGATCCTTTAAACAACGCAAATTTGTGTTTACAGGTATTCAACTGGAACAGCTACCAGATCACAGCATTCGAGCAAATCAAAGAGATTATATCAGAGCCATTCCTTCCATCGAAGTAGGCAAACACCGCAGAAGTCATCCACAAGAGGCCATCAATGATCAAGAATTGTCAAATCTTAGAGGGTTAATTGGGAGCCTCCAGTATGCCACTACTCATACTCGACCGGATGTAGCCGCCAAACTGGGGGAGATCCAAGTGCAACTTTCAAGACCGACAGTGTCAACTTTATTGGAGGCCAATAAGGTCCTGAGGGAAGCTCAACAAACAGAAGATGTGAGTATTTGTTTTCGAGCCATTCCTGTGAAAGACGTTGCTCACGTGGTTTTTGGTGATGCTTCCTTTGCCAGTCCCAAACAGCTTGCGTCCTTTCAGGGCACGATGGTTTTTGCAACAACTCCTTCATTACATAACAATCAGAAATCACCCATCAGCCCGTTATCATGGTCATCAAAGAAAATCTCTCGAGTAGTAAGATCAACTTTGTCAGCCGAAGCATTTTCCATGTCACGTAGTGTGGATAAAATGGGTTGGTGCCGCTTGCTTTGGGGAACGTTGACGATTCCCGAGTTTCAATGGAGGAGTCCACCGGAAGCCTTCAACCAAATGCATGCTGCCATTATTGTCACTGACTGTAAGTCTCTCTATGACTTGGTAAGTCGCAGGGCCATGCCGGCCTGTGAAGAATATCGAACCACTCTGGAAGTACTTTTGATTAAGGAAAGATGTTCAGAACATTGTCATTTTAGATGGATACCAACTGCTTTACAACTGGCGGATCCTTTGACAAAAAACATGGACTCAACCTTACTCAGAGCAGCTTTGGAACAGGGATCATTTCAGTTATTTGACGAAGATGCCAGCCTGCAAACTAATGCCCATCGAAAGCAAGCACTGCAATGGTTGAGGGAATCACACCAACAGAATTCTTAGGGAGTGTGAATTCCACTACAGGTGTGCCTTGATGTGATCCCTCATTTGCCTGTGAACATTTCATATGTCACCACTTGATCCTTGGTGCCTTCCGCTTCGAGGCTGTGGAGGGTAGGGATAGTGGTCTAGCTGTTGGACAGCCATGACTTGGCCTTGAGCGGTGCCTAAAAGGCTGCTACGCGATTGGTGTGGGACACCTGGGTTTTTACATCTTGTTGGATCGGATTCAACCATCATTTACATTTCTGACAGGGTTCAGATCAATTGGATTTGGTGATAGCGGCCGCAATCAGTTCAAATGTATATGATATATGTGTGTATATATATATATATGTATATATAGACATATATTGACACAGAAGCCTAGCTTTGTGGGCACGCAGACAGATACATGCTACATACTTTGTCTGACAGAAGCAGCAAGCACCTGCAGACAGGCAGGCAGAATGGAGAGACACATTATATTCGTGCACTCGCATTGATACGCGAATCTGTGGACGTTCCAGGGTGCTCACGAATTGTACTGTTATATGCATAGTCGAACGACAATCAAACCCGTACTGACATGGACTTGTAGTTGCATCTGTCGGGCATTCCATTGTATTGCATTAAGACAAACATGCATGTTGTATATCCGTCTACTACTTGAATTACTCGGTTCCTCTCAGAAACGCAAACCAGACACTTTGCAATAAATATGGCCACGAGCCGACAAGTTGTCAAGGACTTGTAATACTGATTTTATAAATTATATGAATAATGAATATATAATACTGTATGTATCAATACAGTGATCAAATTATGAAACACCAAACCTGGAAGCTCACTGGTAAAGATGCCATTGGAAAGGAGGCAGATAACGTTGCCAGGAGCTCCAGCACAGGAAACTGGGCCAAGTGGAACTGGAGGTGTCGAGAGGGGTACGCTGAGCATCCGCTGCATACTACGAGCCAAGAACATAACTAGTCTTTGTGGAAACTGGTACATGCTAACAGCGATGCTGTCACAACTTATATACACCTTTTGAGCCTATCTACTTTGAACCTAGAAACCTTGCTTTTGCACACATTCTACAAGCTGAGACAGCGTGCTACTTCTTTTTTGGGAAGTCAGTTTGAAATTTAATGCTGGTGAACTATGGAGATGAACTAATTCAGCGCAAATCCTTTATTCATCTGTGGCAGTACAGGTTTCTGACAGCGATGCGGCCTGCTACTGCTAATGATGATCACTCAAACCCGTGGCTCAACTTTCCCTTTTAATTCTTTCAGTTGAGGTCAGCAGCCATCTTGAATCACTACGGATGCATGATTTGTGGACGTAATGATTGTTGTAAGCCTGTTTTGATGCACAATGCACTCGCGCAAAATTCATGCAGGACAGAGACCTACGGTCAGGGACACCTTTGCTCCTGATGATGTGAGAGAAGGCTCTGAGGGACCAACTTCAGATACGACCAATTTGATCTGGAGCAGATTCCCCGGATATTTCATCCAAACATACTGCAAAAACCCTTCTGAGAAATCCATGTGGGCAACGTGCAAATGGGACACATGAAATATCATGAAATCGGTCGATGGAATTTGATGTCTATTTCTGTAGTTGAGACTCCCCTGTCATCTTTCGTTGCTGCATCACTTTTGAGGTGCTCACCGTCAGGTCCGGAAGCCAGAAGAACAAAAAAACCATCAGATTGGCTGATTGGCTCTTCTGAGTTTCAATTCCCCTCTGCATGGAAGATTCTTTGTGCCAATACATGCAACAGGCTCAGGCTGCAGACCCTTTCACAATTTCTCTTGACAGACATGTCCTTCTACTTAAGTTCAAGGATTTGTGGCAGAAAGCGAGAGCGTGCCTGTCTTAGTTTCTGTTCGCACAGCCAGAACAAGTCTGAAGACTCACGCTCCCACAATCTTGACCAAAACTAAACCAGCTTCCTTCTTTCCACAGTATGTTTTTTTTTTTTTAAAGGATGTCTCGGAACCTATACACGCTGTAACCTTTGTATTCTTGAAAACAGAATGTTGGCAGCCACTTCGGCAGCTTCTCAATCCAAATTTGATGCATATTTGTTTATTGGCAATTCACTGCAAGCTAGATTATGAATGATTATTGGCAATTCACTGTTTGGTTTTTATTGGCCTCTTTGCTTCTAGGCTTACAGCTGACCGTCGGGCAGCCAGGCGAATGCATAGAGGAAGCTATCCTGGTGAGGTTGACTTTGCATCGAAGGTGAAAATGCCTAAAAGACGATGTGATTGTAATTAGGCCTGACATTTTTTTCCCCATGTTTTCACGCTATCAGACACGACTGATTTGAGAAATTTCGAGAACGTATGCGTCTTTCAAGTCTTACGTAGGATTGCTACGGATTGCTGACATTGGACTGAGTCAATGTGCAGTCAGGCCACTGCAACCATGGCAGCAGAAAGATCTCCTTCCGCCATCTCGCACACCAGACGGAACCATGGGTGGTGTCGGAGGTGCACTAAACAGCGGACTGTTGTGCCTTTAATTGCGACGATTTGAGCAACAAGATGCAGACAACCCAGCGGACACGTTGTATTTCGAAATGATCCAACATCCATCTCATCCTGGATATTCCTGGATGATGAGTCCCACCGCAGATTTGTCTGGAAAGGTATTCCACCATCGGCTGCAGGCCTCGAGACCGGTTCTGTTTCTTTTTTGCAAATGCATGTTGAAGCTTTGATCCGTTTGGGCTTGAATGTGAAAACCCTTAGAAGGGGAGTCAAGCGACTTGAAGTTGATGACGATGATGATGCTGGTGGTGATGGTCATGACGATGGGAATCACAGGAGCAATAGCAATTATCCACCACGAAAAAGGACATTTTGCGAGAACACATCTCTATCTCAAAGAGGGGTATTGCATGGTATTGCCAAGCTTTGCCCACTTCCGGAACAGGGCGATCTCATCGACCAGGTGCATGCCCGGTTCCTAAAGGAGCAGGTCTGGGGAGTCAGTCAACCAGCCCAGAAAGAGTGGCTGTGTGATGCTGAAACGATTTGCAGGCTACGATGGGAAACCAGAGCAACTGAGCAGCTCAAAACTGTTCTCCTTTTCACCAGGTTGTAATGCACAGGGCATTCCTCCCATTGACATTTTGACACGTAAACATGCATGCATCAACAATTTTTGTGAGATTTGGCTTGCATTGTGTGAGGAGCGTTGGATACAGTTGGAAGACCTGAGAGCAGAAAGCTCAGAATGAGAACTGATGGGCTTAACCAGTCATCTAGACTTTTCAGTGCTGTTTCTTGCTTTCTTCCCAGTTGTACGCCATGTGTGCTTGAGCTGTGTCTTTGGAAGAGGGAAGTCAGGAAATCACTCGTTGGGATTTGGCCTTTGCACAAGACGTGGGGATCGAGACTTCCTTTCTGGACTGTTACTCCAAAGATTTGACTGTTCCGCAAACAGTTCTCATTCTGCATGGGTTGCAGGTGACCCATGCGAAGAGAATTTGTCTGGGGACGAAAGGACTGGAGCAAGGGTCATGTAGAAAACATGAGAAAACTTTGTGGTAATAGTATATTGTATCGATGACAGAAATAACAACGCCAAAAAATCGTGACGATTCCTTCAATGGACGACCGACAGCATGCCAGCATCTGTTGATTACAGATCACACGATCATCACTACTACATTGTTCTTACATTCTCTAGACCAACTGCAGGCGTTGGTTGGTGCAGGGCACAATACAATCGATGCCAGCTCCAGCACTGCCCTCAGCTTACGAGAAATTTGTCAATAACTCGGCAACGTTCCTTGCTCGGTTGTAGACCAAATGCATCCAGCTGTTGCTTTCCAACGTTTGCAGTAATCCTGCAGAGTCATGCAGGAAGTTTTGGACCAAAGTAGACTTTCCTGATGCTGGACATCATCCCTTGTTTCAGACAAGTCAAATGGCAAATACAGTGGATTCTCCAGACACGGATCGAGGGTTAAGTGCCAGTTCTTGGATTTACTTGCTAAAACTACAAGTGTTCCAGGAAATTCTTCAAACTGACAGGTGAGAGAACCTTCACCTGCACGATCACGCTCTCCAGCCCCGCGCAGGGAGGGTATAGAGGCGCATGTTGTTCAGAGTCCAAGCAGAGTGTTCAAAGTTCTCAAAGTGTTCCAGCTTTCTAGTAACATGCACACACCTGAGCAACTGTTTACGCAGCCGTATGGGGCAGCTGCTTGTGTTGAGCCTGCTCAGGCACAGCCCCTTTATGACCTCCTGCAGCAAATGCGGGAGATGTGGTCTACACAGGCTGCACAGCAAGGGTGAGAGGGCCCAGTGCATTCGAATTTCACCCCGGCATCTTACCTGAAAACGAATCCAACATATCAGCGCCGCGAGAACCCATCTTCTACTGTGTGAGGTGTGCACCTTTAGCACCGCAGACGAACCAATGGTTTCATGGCGACAACCGTTGCCAAACCTTCCAAACCTTCGCGCGCTATTTTTCATGTTTGAGGTTAGTGTGAAAATGGTTAAACCGGTGTCCGGCGCTGTGGCTGGAATGTTTTTGCTCAGTTGCAGGTTGCGGAAAGGTTTGCATAGAATGTAAAGGTAGGATGCATAACATGTGAACGTAGGACCATGGATGATCAGTTGAAAAAGTGTGGACAGAGCCACATTGTAGGCTGAAGGGATTCCAGTTTCAGTTTGCTTGGAGATTAGTGCTTTGGCCTGGGGCATGAGATGCGCAGAAACCAGTGTTGCACTGAGATTCCAAGGGTTTACGTTTTACATGCGTTGCGCACCAAACGTGAGCAGGTTGCACGAACAGGTGTCAAAGGGTGTGGGCAACGCCACACGATATGTTGTTAGGGTTCCACTGTTAGTTTGCGTTGGACTTGGGATTGTGCACTTGCGGTGCATGAGAGATGCGCGGGCAGTCTGTATTGCACTTAGATCACTAGGTCAGGCGCTTTGCATGTGGTTGGCACATATGTTTGGAAGGAGCATGCGCGGAAGTCATGTGGAAACAGAAACTGGCACTTTGGAAGCGCGCGCATGTTGTTTGTGTCACTGTGTTTAGAACGAGACGTGAAAAGCGCAAGGATCCAGGAATTCGTTTTTCATCAGAGGGCCGTTTGTAGACGCGCTAGGAATTTCCCACAGAACTCAAGGAATGCACTTAAAGTGCATTAGATGTTTTCGCTGCATTTCGGTTTCTTCATGCGTGATGAGAACGTGTGCAGAGACACTTCAATTTGTCCAGAGACTTGCGGTTGCAGTGTCGTTTTTGAGTCTTTGGAGCGAGCATACATGTCCTCGGGTTGTGCGGTGTACTTAGGAAACACATGTCTACTCTAAACTTGCGGTTAGGAACTTGGACTTGAGCTTGTGAATTTGGTAGGCTTGGTAGGAACCAAGCGGATCGTTGTTCCACGGTTTTGCACTTGAGAGCACATGTTTTTAGTCATGTGAAGGCTTCGCAAATGAGAAGAAACTCATTTTGGAACGAGTTTGACTTTGTTTTGAAAGACCCCAAGTCACCACAGTTGAGAAGACTTGGATCAGGGCCTTTTCACCTTTTCAAGGCTGAAGTGAAGCTGGGAAAGAGGAAACCTTTTGTTTGTGTTTCTTGTTTTACTCCAAAGTGGCACCGGAAAAATACCAGAGAACATTTCCAAATTGGCAAGACGCCAATTCAGCAGAGACAGAAGTTTCACGAAAGATCTGGCTGCCAAACTTCGTGTTTGGCTCAAGTTTGCCAGCGGAAAAAAGTCAGAAGCTGACTTCGAAATTTCACATGGTAGCGGAGCCCTTGGGGCTTCTGCTGCTGTGGTGAGATGGCGCATGTTCTGTCCTTCACGCCCGCAACGTATCGGATTGATTCTGACGATGGGAACATGGGACAGATGTTTCATGATGGCTTTTTATCGCCTTATGCCGTGGGACCTGAATGTTGGCAGATCGTTTGAGAGCTGCCAATCGGACAGCTGAGGAGAGAAGGCAGGAGGCAAAGATGCGAGCTGAGGTTGTGAATCGGGAAGCCGAGCAACAAGCTCACCATGAGTACGCGGCGGCTCTTGGGAGAAGTGTGCCTGCTGGAAACGGTTCTGGAAACTATCCAGGAAGTTCAAGCGATCTGGTGGCTACTCTGGTTTCTATGCTGCGGCAGCGGCAGAATCAGAGTCAGAGGATGTTAGATATGATGGGTGCAAGACTTGACAGACTTGAGGCTGAACGCGCGCAAGGAGCTCAGGGAAGTTCAGCTGGTGCGCCTGCAAATGCATCCGCACCGGCAGCTACTGGTAGCGGAGGATTACCACAAAGTGGTACAATGTTTCCTTCAGAAGGGAAGCTGCCTTTTGGTGTCGAGATTCCAAAAGTTCCCGCCAAGGAGTGGAAGGGACGGCATCAGGAGATTCTTGGCTTTTGCACGTGGATGGAGCTGTTCTGCTCTTGGTTGAACCTTATCAGTGACCGTTATCCAGCAGAATGTCGATCAGCATTGCAAGAGACCAGGCCAATCGCTCGACACTTGCTTCAGGCGGAAGTGTCAGTGCGGTCGACACGACTGTTGTCTTACCTCAAGCAAGCCGTTGCAGGTTGGACACGAGCTGAAGCTTTGATAGCTCACTATGTGTCAACAGTGCCCTTTGGAGAAGCTCATGGTTATGAGGCATTTCGGAAGCTCAATGTGGAGTTTGGCCTTCAGAATCGATCTGAAGCCTTGGCACTGCGAGAATCTGTTCTCGCCTTCACGGTGAAGGAGGCGAAGCTCATGGACATCGTCCGTGCTGTTGACACCAGACTTCGACAGTACCAAATGATCTTGGACAGTGGGTTTGCTGACCCCACGTTGCAAGGTCGCACGGCAGATTTGGCCATTCCTGAGGCTGACAAGGTCCTCTCGTTGTTGAAGCAGTTGCCTCAACAAGTTGTTCTGCATATTCAGCTTCATGGGAAGGCTGACACTTACCAGAGTGTTTGTGAGACTGTGCGGAATTATGACTTGAACACGAGGCTGCTTGACGTGTCCAAGTTGAACGCGTTCCCCGTTTCGACTGGGAGAGATGGCGGAAAGGCCAAAGGAAAGGGAAAGAAGGGCAAGGAAGGAGGTGAGAACCAAGAGAAAGGCACAGGTGGAAAAGGCAAACCTAGCAAAGGAGACAAGTCAGGAAAAGGCAAAGGCTCAGGGAAGAAAGGGAAAGGATCTTCGAACAGATCGCCGAGTACTGAGTCACAGAAGTCACCCAAAAAGTTGGGACCTTGTTTCAAATGTGGCAAAGATGGTCACTTGAAGCGTGATTTGACAGAAGATCCGTTTTGTCCGTCTCTCAGATCACCAGGTTTGCAGGGTCTCGACATATTGGACATTTGTGAGGAGCTAGGATTTTCACGCGAGGCATCAGGTGCATATGCAGGTCATGAGAAGTTCCATGACTGTGCAGAGTGGTTTGACATTAGTGACAATTGTGAACATATTGACATGGAAGGTTGCTTTGACGGTGGCCAGTGTGTTGACATGGATGTTGGTAGTGATTGATTTCGTGCCGGGGAAGTTGACCATCCACTTCCGCCTCTGGAAGAGGAACTTGAGGATTCAGAGGTGCAGGACCCAGACTTGCCGTTGAGTGAGCAACCGTTGTACGAACATTTGTGTCAGGGACACCAGCCATATTTGTCCAGCTGTAATGCTTGTTCACGTGCGAGTGGTAGGATTCCCGCTAGGAGACTGGAACACCCCAAAGGGCCCTATGAAGTTGCATTGGACATCACGTTTTTGGGACCACTTCGCATTCTTGTCGCTGTTGTCTTGTGTACTTCAATGCTTGGTGCATTCTGCATGACGGGCGAGTTGGACAAGGACGCCCGGATGCTCAACGGTTGGTTCAAAGAGTTTGGACTTACTGGGAAACCAGCTGAGATCACTTCGGACGGAGAACGGCAGCTTGAAACTATGGTTAGGTCAACTATGAACTTGGAAAACTGTACTTTGTCTTGCATGCACTTGAAACTGACACCACCAAACAGGTCACAGTAGAATGGTAAAGTCGAGAGATTTCATGGGATTTTGAAGAAGTCGTTTGGGGCCAATTTGATGTACGTAGAAAATCGTTTGGGACGTAGGATTCCATTGGAGAGTGCCTTGACTCCGTACTTGGTTCCATATTGTGCCAGAACATACAACTTGTTTCATATCCCAGTTGCGTAATTCACCACTGCAGTGGACAAGATGAAGGGACGTTTGAAGTCACAGAAGCAGCGCGCCTTCCCTTTTGGTGCGACGGTGCTGGCAAAGCCTGTGGAGAGCTCAATCGCGCATCCACTTGAGAGTTTGTGCCATGTTTCATATTTAGGTCCAGTAAACGCGCTAGGAGGGGGCATGTGGGGGATTCTGACTGGTCCATCAAAGGTAGGTCTGGTTGCTGAGGAAGCGTTGAAGTTGCGTAAGTTTCAGGTAGCACGTGTGTTGAGTCCGTTGTCATGGGATATGGATCATTTGGTATGAGGACCTGTTGAACCGTTGCCAGTTGATGACCAGGAACCTGCCAGAAATCCATGTGATGTTGCGTTAAAGCCGGATGGAGAGATCTTTGTACCCCCAAGTGGACCCCCAAAGAAATGGATTTTGCAACATGGAGGCGCACCAGACTGCACAGCGTGTAAGCAGATAACTAAGAAGGGAACAACCTCTACCTCACAAGTTCACAGTCGTCGATGTAAAGATCGATACCGTAAGTATCTACAAGATGAACAGAAGAAGTTTCGAGACTCACAGGATGATGCTGTCAAACGACCGGTTGCACTTGAAAATGAAGCTGGACCAGTGCCAGCACATCCCACAGGGAAGAGGAGATATTCACAGAAAATGCCCCCAGTTAGCCAGCAAAGTTCCCCTCCAGGCACAGGTGAAGGTTCAGAGACTGTTGTCATGCCACCGGAAGTGTCACCAGTTCCGCCACCGAAAGTGTCACCAGTTCCGGACTTATCAGTCCCTGATGACTCCATGTCGGATGGATATTCGCAGGGAACCCCAATGTCTGTGACCCCAGATATGAGCCCAGATGTTGACATGGAAGATATGGAGCTTCCACCACCGATCCCTGAACAAATGATTTGGATGTCCTTGTGAATCAGATGTTGGATCAAAACATTCAAACATTGATAGGTTTTTGGGGATGGAACAGTCTTTTGCTGGTGGGGATTGGTTTGAGAGTTCTGTTTGTGGGATAGATGTGTGGCAGCAATTACCTCAAAATCCCAAGTGTGAGTCTACGGGGTTAGCTCTGAAGACCGAACCACTTCGTGAGGCAATTCAGAAGGAATTTGACCAGTTGACGGAGTTGAAGGTCGGTGCAGGTTTAGGAGAAACTCAGTTGAACTTAGTGTCAAAGCAACTTGGTGTTCGAATAATACCATGCCGTTGGGTGTTGACCCTGAAAGGGGATGGAAGAACTCGCGCAAGACTTGTTTGTAAGGATTTCAAACACCTTGGTCAATCAGCTCTTAAAGAAGGTCACTACAGCCC